TACAACTTTTTTCCTATTGATTCGAGAAGGAAGAAAAACTCTGCCAAAATCTCTAGCGTAGTCTAGAGCCGCAAGAACAAGAAACCTAGATCTCAACAATATTCCAAAAATGCAAGATGCCCCCTTTTCCTCCTAACCCCCTTAATTAACCACCAAAGGAGTTTTAACAAAATGTCTAAACAGCCCTCACAGTTAAAAATTTTCCGTCCAAAACTCCTTGGCCCCGTCGGATGAGCTCGGTTCCGGCCCGCTGTTCCGCCGCTCCGTGGGTTTCGCCTCGAGTAGGTGTGGGACCGGTCTGGTTTGGACCGGTCCAGCCGGCTTCAAGTGCCGGCCTAACATTACTCCCCTCCCAAAAACTCACCTTGTCCTCAAGGTGAAAGTCAAGGAACTGTTGCTGATCATCTCATGGGCTCCCAAAGTGGCCTCGTAGTCTGGAAGGCGCTCCACTAATCTTTCAACCTCCTTTTCCCTTTCTCATTGATGCGCACCTCTTCCCCGCTAGAGGCTCCAATGTCACTTCCATGTCCTCCCTCAATGTGCTGGGCAGCTTGGGCTTCACTGCATGCCCCCCACCACTTCTCCTCAAACTGTGAGACATGAAAAAACAGGGTGTATTCTGGCTGTTGGAGGGAGCCTCAATCTATAGGCACCCTCCAATTCTCTCCTCCACTTCAAAGGGCCCCAATATACCTTGCCGCAAGTTCTCATTTTCTTCTTTTGAGCCATAGTCCTCTGCCGGTATGGTCGGAGCTTCAAGTAGACCTTGTCCCAACTGCAAATGTAATATCTCTCTTTTGCCGTCCGCCTGCTTCTTCATAAGTTGCTGGGCTCTAAGTAAAATGCCTCTTGAGCTTCCTCAACACCCTGATCTCTTTTCCTTCAAAATGCTGATCCCACTGCAGATACTGGAGTACTACTATATATGTAGTGTACCAATGTGGGGGTCCCCCCATATAACCTTAAAATGTGTCAATCTTGGTCGCCGAGTGAAAGGAGGTAATTGTACCAGTATTCTGCCCAAAGCTAGCAATTTGGCCAACTGTTTTGGTGTTTTTCAGACACGAAACACTCATCAAGTATGTCTCCAAGCTCCTATTCACTACTCGTCTTGCCCCATCAGTCTGTGGATGGGTAGGCTGTGCTCCTCTTTCAATACTGTTCCCTGGCATCCTAAATAGCTCCTCTCCAAAAATGGCTCAGGAAATACCTTGTTCCCTATCAGAAATGATAGACTTGGTACCCCCATGCAGGGCGACTATTATTCCCTCACAAATGCTGCTGCTACAAGATCACGCTGTGTTACGGGTGGTCTTAAGGGAATGAAATGAGCAATATTTGCTCAGCCTGTCAACCACTACAAGTATAAAACTATGTAGCCTTCTGATTTTTGGGAGCCCATCAATGAAAATCCATTAGTAATTTACTCCCAAACTTCTTCTCTGGTAGGCAGAAGACTGTAGTAATTCCTGGTGCCATTGTCAGGTACTTTGCTCCGCTGGCAGAATATCACACTTTTTCTACCATCTTCCTCTACATCTTTCCCCTCAATCCCTTCCAGTACAATTCCGCAAGCTAATGACTATAGTTTTTTGACTCTAATGCCCCTCCTATGGCAACTCCCATGAAACTCCGTAAGCAGCTGGTGGAATGTGGATGGAAAGACCTCGGAATCCACTCCTTCCCTGATAAGTACAGTCTCTCTCCCCAACCGAGTAGCCTGGGTGGCTGTTTCCATCTGATAACACTCTTTTTTGATTTTTCCTTAGCTCCTCATTCCTGAATGCTCTTCCTCTTTGATGGCTCCCCAATCTATCAGTACTGGTAAAGTATACAAGCCATCCCTTGGAGACTCCCATACCGTGATAAGGCATCATTGCCTTAATTTCTCTTAGTCCCGGTCGGTAGTGGATCTTCAAAATCATATCCCAGCAGCTTGGACAACCACCTCTGGTGCTCTCGTGACCATCCCTCTGCTCTAACAAGTCTTTAGGCTCCTTTGATCCAGTCCTGACAAATAAAATGTCTTGCCCAATAAGTAGGTCTCCACTTTTCTGGGATGGCTAGTACAATAGCCATCAGCTCTCTCTCATAGACAGACTTTCAGCGTAGCCCGGGACGACAAGTATCTGACTGAATTAGCTAAATGGGCCTGTGGTTTTCCGCATCAAACACTGCTTTCCAATCCATAGCATGAAGCATCCTGTCTCACACCAAAACACTGGTTGTAAGTCCGGCAGAGCACTTGTCTCTTGCATCTACTAGTGGAATACAATTATTTGCTATTGATTTCCTACGTTTTCTCTCAGTTTTTCCCCACTTTTCCGCTGTTTTTCACTGTTTTCCTGTGCGGGACAGCATTTGGCGAGGAGATTTGCACGAGAGACACATAGGAAATACTTGATCCCGAGTATTTCCTATCAGTTTACTTGAAATATTCAAGTATTTCCTATCAAAGACCCACCAATTGGCTACTTCTAATAGAAGCCGTAAGATTCGCAATTTCATGCTACTTTCAATGAAAGACATAAGTCCCGACCCAAATTCAAACAAATGGGCTACTTTTAAGAGAAGTCGTAAGATCCTCTTCAAATTAAAATTCTTTGTAACTTCTAAAAGAAGTTATAAATCCCCAAACCGGACCAATTACTATGTATTTTAATATATATAAACCCCAAAATCCTATAAAATTAAAACCCACATCTAACCACATCAGTCTACTCGGGATCCATGAGAGAAGACAATTTATGACTGCAAATCAGATTTATTGGACACTATAGTTCACCATTGCTAGTGTTGGTAGACTGAAACCTTTGGTATAGCCGGGACGACATAATCATGAGATCTTAATCGGGTTTACCTCCATTCCCCCCCCCCCCCCCCCCACCCACCCCAATCCCCCCCCCCGCCTTAACTGAGACTAAAACACCCAAAATTTATTCCTCCTTAATCGAGAGTTCTCTCTTATGTATTAAGAGGGGAAATTAATTATGAGTGTTTGCGCTCATGGGAAGTAAGAACTCAGATCTAATTAAACCCTACTCTTAGGAGAAATCTGGTTAACTGCAATTTGATTTAAGGGAAATGAAATCCTATGTCTATAAAGCAGGATTTGTACCAACACGTCATTTTTCTTGAGCCAACAATGAATAGGAATAATGCCATTTCATTGAATTTGCTAACCATTGGAAGTAAGAAATTGAGATATCACAGAGGTATTTTGATTCAAATCTAATTTGAAAACATGAGAATATTGTGTTGTGAGAGTCTTATCACTAATCAATTTACCTTTCCGAAATTTAACTTTATCACCATTTTGGATGTTCTAAGAAATTCCAAAGGAAAAAAATGAGCATAAACTACTCACCCCTTTAATAAATGAGAGCAATCAGTGCCTTTACTCATTCATAAATCAAGAGTTATAACACTCTGTGCTTGCTTTGAATAATTGAACTAGCATATTAGTTACTGTTAAATTGAAGAGATTTCTGATTTGTTTAGAAAGAAGAATATTGTAGTTTGGTCTCTAATGCCAAAACCTCCAAGTTTTTTTGTTCTGTAAATGTTTTCTATTTTACTAAGTTGAGACCGCTACCTTTATCATTACCTTTTCAAAAAAAATCCCTTCTAATGCTGTCTACTTTGTTAGTTACCCTAAGGCACCCGAACAAAGAAGTTAACAAGGATTGAAGATAATAAGACATTAATCAGAATGATTCGACCACCTTAGTAGAGTAACGATGCACGTTCTTATTGGGGAAAATATAGTTAGTGGATTTGTGGCTCAGGTCTAATTTATATCAATAAAAAAATTCTGCTGTGATATTTGTACAATTTTGATTTAATAAATACAATTCTTAATGTAGGTATAATTTCTGTTTGTTATGTACCAAATTCTCAAGGAAAATTTATCACACACCAAATTTTTTGACAAACAAGATAATTAGCTTGAATAACATTCATAAGAGTGAAGTTATAGCTATGCAGTTCACTATTCTTCAATGTAGACCTGGTTAATTTTTTTGGAAATGATATAATGTTTTTAATTTTATTGCTTGAGCACTTTTGTATTATTCCTACATTAAATTATTTTACCTAGTTTTTATGCTTATTTTCATTTACCTATTTTTTGTAGGTTACAGTATTTGGTTATAATCACAAAATGCAAAGTCTGTTAGAAACTGTTATTGATAAAATCAAGAACTTTGAGGTGAAGGCTGACCGGTTTTCTGTAATCAAGGTATTTGTTTTTTTTTTTGGGCAGATGACTTTCATATGCTAGATCTCGTGCCTCTCATCTACTTTGTGCAGGATTTTGACTAAGCTTTTCAGTCCGAACCATCCCGTGAATTGCTTATAATATCTCGAGTGATTATCTTAACTGATTTGATGCGTCTTCCCTTTCCATCTATTTGGATTTAATTATTCAAATTAGTATTACATGTCATTTTGTTTGTAGTCGTTATAAACTTTAGTTCTGGTAGCATTTGAACTTATTTAAAAATTATGGGCTATAAGTTTGTCTGCATGAGCTTTACACTGCTTTGACTCACTACAGGAAAACCCGTTATTACCGGTGGACACAATCCGCCGGAGAACATAGATAATCCGACGGAATCATACGTTTTCGTCGGACTTTTCGGCGGAAATTCATACGATACGCCGGTTTGGCCGCGTCGATAAATTATTTCCGGCGCGAAAATTGGCGTCGGAAATTTTTTCCGGCGCAATGATCCGACGAATTACCGCGAAAAAAACGGATCGTTTTCGACGTTGAAAAAACACCTTAATTCCCGGCGCCATTTCCGCCGGTAATTTATCGTCGCATTATGCGCCGGTCATCTACCGGCGCGATATGACGCCGCAAAGTGCAATGCCACGAAACCCACGAACTCTCTTGCGACAGCAAAGTATACGCCGGTAATTACCGGCGGACCGTGCGCCGTATTACGCCGGCAGTTTCCGCGTCTGAAAAAGGCGCCGGAACACACGATACGATTCGTTTGTATCGTCGTTTCCGGCGACCTTCCGGCGCAAAAATCCGTCGGAAACCTATAGCATTGACAAAAAAAAAAATTCCCTTCTCAGCCAACATCAAATTTTCACACCTGCAAACAAATACAAAATAACAATTCCACCACAATTCAATTATAACATTACAACTATATCAACAATTTCATCACAATTCACAAAACAGTTTATAACATTGAAAAAACAGTTCAGTACTAACAAATCAACTAAACACATCACATTAAAAAAACTGTTCAAATAAAACATGTTCACAGAAATAAACAAGTTTCATTATAAACTAAATTAAACTACTCTGACTCCGTGGACTGCCTCCTCAGGTGGAGCTACCTCTTTTCCACTCAGCTGCTCCTTCATCTTGCGCATTTCATCCAACAACTGATTGTGTTATTCTGAATACTGTTTGAACCTGTGCTGCAGCTGAGCTTGAACCTGTGCTTGCAGCTGAGCCTGCCAATCAGCTTGTGATTTCCTTACTTGTTCTAGGCTCAGCTTGAAGGGCACTTATTTGTTGAGCTTGTAAAGAGTCATGCGAACTGGATGCGAAAGCTGGATGCAGTAGAGGATGTCATCCCCTTGTATGCCTGAGCTTGCGCCCTAATCCATATACTCTACCATGCTGCATTCCTCGACGGCTGCGACCAGATGCGATACTCAGAATACTCCACAGAGCCGCTAGAAGAGCCCTCACCTGATTGCGGCATGAAGTTCTCTCGAAGCCGTGTATAAATCCTCCTGTAAAAGTATAATATAAATATATATAGTTAAACTAAAACTTTAGAAAAATATTAAACAATATATAAAATATACTTACATAGGCTTTTTTTGATCTTCATCAAATCCATGTTGATCCTCTGTCGCTTATGAGTCGACTATGCAATTCAACAGGAGTTGTTTCTCTACCAAGCATCGCTTTTCTGTTTGATAGAAGAAAATTTTATTAATATAGATAAAGAATAATTTTAAAAAACATTTAAATTCATTACCAAAACGACGCCTGTGCTCAGTATGTGAACAAGAGCCGCCTGTTATGAAAGTGAACTTCCCAAACCCACCAACATTCAGAAAGCTTTTGTTCTGTCGATTCTGATCCTCTTCCTACTGTATCTCTTCGCTGCCCCAAGCTGCATTTAACTCAGCCCATATTACCCTCTCCAATCCACAGTGGTCGTTTCCCCAGACTTTCTAATATCAGTGAACATGTCGCGCATCCGAGTAGGACCCACGCTTCTCAAAATTCTTTCTAATCTTGTCATTGTGTTGGGCAGCCCAACAAAACTCCTTTCTGCAATCAAATACATATGATATATAATATATAAGAGTATTAGCTTAAGTAAAAAAGAATAAATCATTAAACATAAAAATTAAAACCCAAAAATACCTCAAACTCTCTAACCCAATACTCCCGGACTTCTTTCGAGACTTTAATCCAAGAAACATATGGAGCGTCAAACCTGCTCGTATGAATGCCGTATTTTATGTGTCGGTTGTTTTTGATGGGTAGAACCTACAAAATAAAAGTTATATTAAAACAAATATAAAAGTATATAAAAAAATATTTGTTAGTTTAAAAAAATAAAAGAGAATGTACGTACTGTCAACCCTCAGGTGCTATCAACATTCTACCATCTGTCTCCTGTCTAACTGCAGCTGCTGCGAAGGTTCCGCTTCCCTGTCGAAGGTCAGCTGCTGTCGAAGGTCACTGCTTCAGAAGAGACAGTCAGCTTAGCGGGCTGTGGGGTGTGTGGGGTAATAGTATGGTGAGCATTATGGTGGAAATAGATAAGTAGGAGGGGCACCAGCATATCGGTGGGGTGTGAGTATGGGGTAAAAGGAAGTACTGGATCTGGTTGAAGAAAACGGTGGTCTGGTGAAGTAAAACTGTGGGCTTACCGCTTTTCCATGAGTGGTAAAGGCTGTGTATCAGGATGAGGCTGTTGTTAGTAAGGCTGAGCTGTTGTAGTTAGGCTGAGGCTCTTGTAGCAGGCTGACCAAGTGGTCCCCTCAAGTACGTACGGCCTTACGGTGGTCCAGTGTCAGTGGTCTTTTCGTGCGCCTGTTAAAAATATTTTTTATCAATCCTCTTACTAGGCCTCCTCAACCGTGAAGCCATCTGCACATAAATAAAAAAATATTAGAAATATGAGTTATAATACAAAATTTAATCAAAAATAACGCAGTGCAGTAGCTATAAGCTAAAAAAAATACAGCAAGTAAAATGCAGGGTAAGTAAAAAAAAAAGCAGTGCGTAGGCTTAAAAAAATACAGTCAAGTAAAATGCATGGAGTAAAAAAAACAGTGCAGTAGCTTAAAAAAAATTAGTAAAGTAAACGCAGGGAAAGATAAAATAAAATGCATGCAGTAGCTAAAAAAAATTTAAGTTACCTTTTGTTGTTAACTCATCATTTGTTGATTCACATTGCATACAGATGATACACTCCATTACTATCAGATTCATCATACTTTCCTCTATGGTTAGATCTAGCCTCCTCTAACTGCAACCTCGCTCCATTAATTCTGATTTTGGTCATCTACATTGATGAGAGATTTTTTTAAAATAACATAAAACCTTCTTGATTGCGATTGTATTGAGGTGGTTTTCTCAATTAACTCCCCTTGGTTTTTGTCTTCATAAACTCCCCAGCCATCTTGTTTGCCTCGTATTCCCTTGGATAGTTTAGCAATAATAGACTTTGAGTTGCCTGACTAGCAATGATGAAAGGATCATAACTTTTGCATATCTACGCTAACCACCGCTTTTACTCGTATACCCGTAAATTGGATGAATTTCGTGCCTCTATTTGGTACTGGATCAAACCATTCACAAATTGAAGAGATACACCAGTGTTCCCTTCTGACCGGCGATATTCAACCTCTTAATATTTCTTGTATACCCCGTAGTATTCAGAATCATCTCCTGTGTGGGTGTCCCTTACACAACGCCTGAATTTTCTGTCTTCCTTCCTTCACATCAATTTTTTGTCTGGAATTTAATAACCATTGACCTAAATATTTGATAACCATTTTACTAATATATTTGGTCCCAAGCTAACTCAGTTAACATTTTAAATACTGCGAACTATCTTCAGTGATGTAACCTTCAAAATGTACAAGATGTTTATTAATTCAAATAATTAACTCATAGTAAGAATAATTATTCAAAACATACCGTTATTTTTAAACCAAGCAGTGAATTTCTTTTTTCCACTATCTTCTGGACTTTCTTCCTTCTTTCTGATTACTAAAGACCATCATGAACCTCCTAACAAATTTTGTCTGAGTTTTAGACCAAAGTCTAAAAGGAAAATAAAAAAATATAAACAACTTAACTCATACTTACTCGAGATATGCTTCCACTTCATCACAGTTAAGCAGAGTAATTGTGATAACTGCATCTCCTTATCGGTCAAATAGCGCAACAGTGCTAGCACCTAAAAATTCCCCAATTCCGCTGAATACAGAGGTTATTAGAGATTTCCAAACATATTTGAGATGCTGACTTTCACCTGATTGAGATATTGTTTCAAATAATACGAGCAAAACTGGAGTTGTCTCGTTGTTAAATATGCCTTCACAGATAGAGCCTTCGCGGTCGTGAATTTGTTCTTAGCGTTTCTTTCAAGTTTATTTAAATATCTCTCAAAAGGATACATCCACCTATACTGAACGGTCCACCAACCATAGCCTCATATGGTAAATGAACAGTAGGATGCTCCATTAGAGTCAAAAAAAGCCTGGAGGAAATATTTTCTCAAGTTGAACACAAAATGAAATGGAATTTGCTGCTCCATAAGAATAAATTCTCCACATTTTAATTTAGAAAGAGCATAAATCTTTGAAGAGAAGACACTTAGCTCGATAGAGGCTTTAAATCTGATCTGGAAGATAACTAAAGCAGTGATAGTAGACAATTGCATGAAGATAATGACAAATCATGACTTTTCAATCTGAATAATCTCCCTGATCTTATGTCAACACACCTGCTTAGATTGGAAGATATCCATCAGGTACTCGTAGGTCTTCACCATTCACAAATTGGCTCGTTTTTGCCTCTAAAGTTAATGTGATGGAGCTTTGGCGGTTTGAGAAAATTTTCGGCTCCACCATCCTCAATTCCAAAGCTTTCCTTCTACAAATCTCCTTAAGTCCAACCCTTGCTTTTTATATATCTTTTGATTTCTCTTTGATGTCCATAACTGTAATAGAAAATATTATCAAAACATTTTTCTCTATATGGCATTTAACATCCAAGTTATTCTTATCAAGGTT